TGGGGGCGGGGGGGTGAATGTTCACAATGTATTTTCTGAATGATCTCGATCACAATCACATTTTTGTATTGTTTTTAAGCTGTCAGTGAAAGTCACTTTACTGAAAACTAATGGAAATCGAAAGTACTTCAATATTTTATTAATATTAGCTCCTATAAGTTTTTAAACATGAAAAATATGAACATAGCATAGAAAAATATTCAACCAATTTTTACTCAACATTACAACGCATGTAGAAAGAGATTGAAGAACAGCGTGAGAAATGGTGTAAGAGGGGTGCAATGTCTCACTCAGACCGAAAGAGGACACTGTTAGCTGCCTTACAAGGGGTTCCAAGACATGCAGGGTCATGGTGAATTGTGACTGACGTGGGTTAGATTAACATTTCGCTTGACTTTCATGTTGTTCATGGATCTGACAACATGATGCAGACAAACGTTTGAGTAGAACTCACCGATGTACCTTATAAGAGAACATTTGAAATCGCTTTTTTACTGAGGAAATGTACACGTAGCGCTTCTCCCAACCTCATGCCATACACAGTGGTATTTTTTCCATTGAGACAGAAAATAACGTGAAAATAACGTGAAAATGCAGCAGATAAAGTTATGTTTTCAAGCTAAGGCGGGCTAAGTTAACGCCATTTTTTGTATGTTCGGTATGCATGAGTCTAAATACTGTACTGTGTAATGCTGACACGTTACCCTGATCAAAAGTACAATCTCTGTCAAGATGGTTCATGGTGCTTGTGTTAACAAAAACTTTGAATCCAGAGAAATATCTACCTGAGCAACTCTTATTTGAAAATGAGTATATTTGTGTCAGTGTCACAAATACTTTTCAAATTACACTGGCAAAAGCAAATTTGAATGCGAGATGGAGCAGGTTGCAGGGACTTTACTCGGAACTGATCGCCACTGAGTCACATGAGCGGTGGTCCCCAACCACCAGTCTGCGGACCGGTACTAGGCCATGGTCCATTTGGTACCGGGCCGCACAGAGACAGACCTGCGAGCTGTGCTGTGAGCATATTTACTCCGTCAGACGTGGTGGAAATGTGCGTGACTCTAACCCAGGGGTCGGCAACCCAAAATGTTGAAAGAGCCATATTGGACCAAAATAAACAAAAAACAAATGTCAGGAGCCGCAAAAAATAAAAAGCCTTATAATGAAGGCAACACGTGCTGTATGTGTCTATATTAGCTATATTAGCCTGCTATCAACATGACTAAGTTGGCTACAAATACACATCGAGCATTCATGATTAAAAGTTTTTTTCCCGTGCAGTTCATCATGTAGATGAGGGGTGCCCAAACTTTTTGACGGAAGATCTACTTTTCGAACAACCAACCTCCTGCGATCGACCCGTTACTGCACAGGCGCGCATACGCACAGACTTACACACGCATGCCGTAATGAGTGACAGCCATAATGGCTGCTGAGATGAACGAGACACGGACGCACTTTCGCAGCGTGCTAACTATCGTAGATCACGTAGACAGTTTAAAAATGCTTCTTTTGGCCGCCCAGATTCCCATTCTTAGCAAGTACCCTCGGTGAATTGTACATGAAAGGCAGCTGTTTTTTTTTTTTTTTGCAACAGCCCCCTGACTGACATCCCGCCCTGCTAATAGAAACGTGTGTCGCAGGCTATGACGCAAATATTCGTTGACGAAATGTTGACATTGACATTGAAGATTTATTCGACACATTTTTACAGCATCGGAAAACGTTAATAATGTTTGTGTTATGTTTATCCTCTGAAAGAAACCATATTAAACAAAAAATATATATATTGCCCTCCCATCGGTTTCCATTTTCAAACATTTTGAAAAAGATCTGGGGGCGGGGGGGCGCTAAAGAGCCACATGCGGCTCGAGAGCCGCGTGTTACCGGCCCCTCTCTAACCAATCGTAATCCTTCTTCTAACATTGGGTTGCAAGTTGAAATCGACAGAACCCGTCAATAAATGAAAGAAGAAGCAGTATACAGAAAGTAATAAAAACAAATTGACCAACGTTAACGTGAAGCTATTTTGACAAGCGAAGTCGTAGCGGTACCTCCAAAGTGACATGGACAAGGAAGTTGTGCATGGCATGTCGTCAAATACAAGACAATACAAGAAACCTATTGAATTATTTTAACAAGTAGCACCTAAGTGATCAAGTGGAAAGCCTGAAAAAGCGAGCAGAGTTTGCACAGCCTGCCCACGTGAGCATTAGCAGTTTAGTTGCTAATAACTAGCCGTCAGCCCCCAGATGAAAGCGTCAATCAATCGTGTCATATTTTGATCAGTTACATTTGCAAGTAGCAATGATGCTAACACCTTATGTAGGATCATAACTTCAATATTATTATGTTCATATGATAAGGTATAGTTATTATTCCTGATTGGTCCATTTCTTCGTAGTTCACTGTTATTTTATGACATTCTACCTTTGTTGTAGAGTAGAATAACACTGTTTGAAATGAATGAAAAAAAAATATGTTAATAAAAATATTTAATGACTCTATAATTATCGTTGATGTCAGTACTAGTGCTTTAAAACTGGCAATTTGAAAGCAATGAGGAAAAAAAAAAAAGGTCGCCGGTCCATGAACAGTATGTGCTTGTCTCAACTGGTCCATGACACCAAAAAACCTTGGGGACCACTGTAAGGCACACATAAGTGAATAAAAACAAATGACAATCTTTCACACGCACAGTCACACTGTTACTGACCGAGTGTGATTGAGCACATGCTGCCTCAGACAAGTCAGGCAAGTGAACCGTTACTGTACTAACAAGATACAAGTAGAAGATACATTTTTACACAATTTATCGTAGTTTCCAGGTGTCTTAATAAAAGGTCTCTGACATTATTCAATGACAACACACAAAGGAAAAAGAATTAGAGCAAACTTTCCCACTGTGGTTGAAAGTGCTTGATGTGGTTCTGTCGTCTACAAGTGAGCCAATTCACCCAGGCCCCTCTACGGCTCAGCCAACAAGTAGTGACAGCTACGAGTACAGCTTTCATGACCTTGATGAATGGAGGCGAAACTAGAGCATTGCAAAGAAAGCAAGGACGAATCATTGTTTTTAACTTTATCGTGCTATTTAGCAAATTTCTCAACCACTCCAGAGACTGTTTTTCCCACAAAAACAACAACAACAAACAATATAGGCGAATTTTTGTGGTGGTATTTCAGACTTCATGGGCGCCCTGTAATTACGTCCAGAGCAGATGTTCATCCATCTCCATTTTTATAAATTGAGCTTGCGCAAATCCTTCATAGCTTTGAAATGATGGTGCGAACTAGTCTGGACTTCAACCGTTTCAACCAGCCAAGTCATGGGTGAAGAAACATGGTGTGGGAGCTGGATTATGTCAATATGTAAGTAAGTAGGACTACTTTTACATCACAACCCTACAAAATGAACAAGAGCTTGCGAACATGCTTTCGAATATTTACTTTGTTTCGTTTCACACTTGAACAAGCTGGCGCTGCAGCGATCCAACCTTTTGTACACAAGCAATTCAAGTAAATTCTCCAAAATGTTTTCTTCTTGACTGTATAACATAACTGCCTCACTTTATTAATTATGTTCCGTATACATCTGTATGTAGGTTTTCCCCTTTGTGTCATGTCATCGACTCATTCATACTTGGTAAAGCCGAGGTCAAATAGTTCACACAAAAATCCGCCCAAGACCAAAATGCCTTCTCCTCTGTCAACTACATCAGCAGCACAGTTGCTATGTTGGACTCCCTGAAAAAACAAGCTGGGGAATTTAAAAATGCATATAAATATGACACTGAATTTTCAATTAAGTTTGATTTCAATTAATACTTTAAGGGGAATAATGGATTCCTGTCATCGACTGATTCTTACTGGGTAAAGCCGAGGTCAAATAGTTCACACAAAAATCCAACAAGGCCGCCTAAGACCAAAATGCCTTCTCCTCTGCCAACTGCATTAACAGGACAGTTGCTATGTTGGCCTCCCTGATAAAACAAGCTGGGGAATTTAAAAATGCATATAAATATGACACTAAATTTTCAATTAAGTTTCTGGCTATTTGATTTCAATTAATACTTTAAGGGGAATAATGGAAACAAAAGCTGTTGATCAGTCGGCGTTTTGGGTGGTGGTGGTGGGGATGTTAAACTAATTGTGCATTTCAAAGTAGGATACAGTAAATCAGAAGAACCTGGACAAGCTAGTGGTGCAGCCTGATAACAGCATTGGTCAGATGAACCACCAATCGAGAGAATTAATTATTCGCATGTCGGACGACAAATATTTTTATTCTTATCGATAACCACTTTATGGACTTCATGTGACAGGAAATATATATTTTTTTATTAATTGCATTGCATCCCCATTTAGTGGTCAGAAGCTGCAGTGCGACTACCAGCAGGATACATATATTTGTTAACTTGACACAGGGATTTTGTGTTTTTGTTTGTTACGATAGTAAACATGTTGACAGTAAAAATATCTTTGGCTGCATTTTATTTTTGTTGTTTTGGTACCAATTTGCATAATAACAACTAAAAACTATTGAAAACATTTTTGTTTTTTGTGCAATGGAACAATATTTTTATTAATTGCATTGCATCCCCATCTAGTGGTCAGAAGCTGCAGTGCGACTACCAGCAGGATACATATACAGTATTTTTTAACCTGACACAGGGATTTTGTGTTTTTGTTTGTTACGATCGTAAACATGTTAACAGTAAAAATATCTTTGGCTGCATTTTATTTTTGTTGTTTTGGTACCAATTTGCATAATAACAACTAAAAACTATTGAAAACATTTTTGTTTTTTGTGCAATGGCGACCAGTTTAAAGTAAATTAGAAGACGTGAGGTCTAGTTTTATAATGTGCATTGTCTTTTACTTTATGCTCCAAACTTGCATTTCTCAACTTTATTCAGGAGGTTTTTGAAAAGCTGGAAGAGTTTCTACGAATAGTCTAAAACTTGCCTCTCAAATTTGAATGAAAACGCACATGCCTTTTAATGCTCTTTATTTTTGAGATACAAAATGTAACCTTTGTTTGACCTATTGGCAGTACAAGGAGAAAAGAGTGATTTACATGAATTTGATATGTGAATACTTATGGTGTGTAATAATTGGTTGGAGTATGATCACTGTTTAAGGAAAACAAACTATCATTCATCTGGAATTTGATCATTGATGCGTGTCTCCACTTTGTATAATGTCTGGTAGCCATCATCCCAAGCATACAGCTGTTTGTCTCCAGGGTGGTAGTGGATGCTGCTGTGGCTTGTGTAGCGTTTTGGGAAGAACACCACAGGACTTTCAGTGCTTCCAGTTGATGGCACGGCATAGAAAAAAAAAGGGTTATTTAGTTAGGAAAGGTGTGACTAGTGAGGTCACTGCTTAATTATAGGACAAAACGTTTTACATAAAGTGCATATTTTTGGGTGTACATATGATAAATGGGAATACAAGGCCAACCTACCTGTGGATGGTGTCGTGAATATCATAGAGACACTGTACAGTTGACCGTCCACCATAGTGTGTGTTGTAGACAACATAAAGAGTCCCACATATTATGAATGCTCCTTCAGCATCTTGACTTTTACACTGTGTATCCCAGATGTACTCTACTGCCAGGTTTCCTAGAAAAGAATAATTGTCATCAATGATTATGTTTGTTTTCATGGAAGTGCTACACAGTCCACTGGAAATCTGCTGGTGTAAAGGACCGCTGGTCGAGACCTAGCGCTTTAGATGTCACGTTTTTTTTCTGGCATGTTACATGGTTGTCCTGCTGCTTTGATGTCAAGCTATTATGGAGCCATTGTAGCATCTTGCAACAGTCACCTTGTGTGTTGCTCACGTACAACTCAATGCAATGTACCAAACCAAAATGTAGCGCAAGATGGACAAATGGTTATGGCAGAGCTTATTACAGCTCCATAGCAGCAAAACCTGCAATTTTCATCCTGAGGGGCAAAACCAAATTTTATTTAATTAATTCAAGGAAACACAATTACCGTATTTTCTGCGCTATAAGGCACTTCGGAGTATAAGCCGCACCTTCAGTAAATGGCCTATTCTAAAACTGTTTTCATTTTCAGATTCAGATTCAGAAAACTTCATTTATCCCCGTGGGGCAATTAGAGTTTTTATAGGGCGCACCGCATTATAAGGCGCATAGAATAGAAGCTACAATAGTGGCTGTGGTTGCCTTATGCATCCACTAGATGGCGCTACATTAAACACAATATAGCTTTATTTATATAGAGCTTTCACAACCGCTGCAGCTGTAACAAAGCGCTTTACAGAACATTTAAAACACTGCGTGCAAGAAATCAGAATATTGATCCATATATAAGGCACATTATAAGGTGCACTGTTGGTTTTTGAGAAAATTTAATGCTTTTAGGTGCGCCTATAGTGTGGGAAATACGGTAGTTGAACCACTATGTGTGGAAGCTCTTATTTGAGGGTGTACAATACATCCAAAGTACATTAGCACTCTACCTTTATCCAATTTAGTTAGAACCAAGTTTCCTCCATATTCTGGGTCAGCATGAATGACCCAAAGACCGAGTTCATCCACTGCCATGTCCAAGTAGGTGTTGGTATTCAAGCTGTACACTGGGAGGCGACCAGCACCTGGAAGAAGGGTGCTGTCCACCACTGTGCCATTCGACAGGTCAACCTGGAAGACAAATGGAGGAAGTTTGAGTTTTAACATACAGTAAATAGTAAATAGGAGAATCCTGTACTGCATTTGCGATTGAAACATGCATCAATTGGGTGATGCAATATTTTCACAGAATATACATAATTTATGCCTTTCAACTGTAATGGCAAAGCTCGATCATAGGATAGCCCCGATGACAGTCCCCGTGTCAATTGTCTTGATTGTCTGGTTGTCTCAAGACAATACATTTGTTGGGTTCACAATTTTCATTCTAATTATTTGACCCTCCTGTTTCATAGTCATTTTGTTCTGAATCCCACTGTTTTTCTTTTTTATTAACTTATGACCATGACCACTGTATGGTTGAACAAAATGAATTCAAAGAGGAGGACAGCAACCTCTCTCGACACAGCATGTTTCAATCAGAGTAGAAAGACAAAAATACTTTATATTTTAAAAAGATTTTCTTCTTTTGCTTTTCATTTAATCTTCATTTTATATTACCAAAGCAGGTATGCTTTGTGGGACTGGTGTTTTGGATGCATTCCTCCCAGACTGTCTTTGGTGGTCAGTGGTGCCCTAGATAACTTAAATATCTAATGACGGGAGGTGCACTGTGAGGTGCTTTCAAGTCAGAAATTTGTTTTAGAAAATTTCACTTACTGGCCTCAAATAATACTGGATAGTAAAGAAAACAGGAAAAATAATCCTCCCCAATGACCAGGTTCACTTGTAGTGCACTCAGTCTCCAGCCAAGAGCCACATTACGCAATCCACTGCAACTTTAAAATGAATCAGGAATAAGAAATGACCTCTGTTGCCAAAGTATCCACTCCCTCTGCAGGACCGCTGCATGAATTTGGCTTTTTTATAAATGTGCAGAAAGAACAACACACCCTAATGTGTGTGAGGTGGGATATCATTTACACACTTTTAGTATCTGGTTGGGTGTGTCTGCTTTGTGGTAGTAGAGGAATCCATTGTAGACCAAGTGGCCTGTTCCCTGCCATGAAAAAGGCAGCCTGACCACTTTGAACGGGGGTACGGCGATTTTCTCCGAGAAGCTTTGGAGAGATGCGTATTCCAGTAGGGTGTCGTTACGAATTCCACTCAGCAGGTAGACCTTTAAGAAAAATCAGACTTGTTGTAAGTGAACAGTCCTGTGGTCAAACAAATTATTTTTCTCTCATCCTAATAAATAGCATTGTACTGTTGCTCTGTGGCGATCACATGAGCCATCGTCCCTTCAATGCCGAGATGAAAATAAGGACAACAAATGCCTCGTGATTACTGCCGGCTGCAAAACGGTGGTACATACCTTGGCTGCTCCAGCAGCAGGGTCCTTGAACCAGGAGCCCGCGTTATCCCCCATCTTCTTCACCATTTTGAGCGACTTAATTTGACTCAAGGCTACGTTGCAATCTGGAAATGACAGTAGAACACAGAGAATATGTTTGAATTGAGCTCTTCTGTTGCAAGGTCTTACTTGAATTGGCCCCTTTCTTGGATTTTTCTTGGTCTGCATGTGCTGCATGTACACATACAGCACATTTGACAAAGTTGTACTTGACTTTTTTCTTGGATTTTTCTCGGTCTACATGTCCTAATACTGTAAATAGTCTTGCGTCATATTCCAGTATGACCATACCATTTTCCACTTTGATTTTAGCCTTTCTATACTGTAAATAGTCTTCCATCGTATTCCAGTACGACCATACCATTTTCCACTTTGATTTTAGCCTTTCTCTTGAGCTGATCCAGTTCTGCTGCTTTTATCTGTTGTTCCAGCAGTGCCTCCTCCATCTCAATGTCAGATTGGGCGGGCATCTTGTTTTCGAGATATTCCAGCTCTCTCTCCACACGCTCGACACGCGCAGAGATGCTCTCCAGCTGGCTCCTCACCTCTGATCTGAAGGGGAAATCACTTCTCATTTCGGGCACTTCTTGTTTCTTGGTGCCACATACGTACGAGTCCTTCATCATAAAGGCAATTATTCACAGTAAGTCGTACCTCATAACATTCAAGGTGGACAGATGACCTCTCATTTCTGAAGAAACATCGTAGGTCTTCTGGGTTATGGTCACGGTGTTTTGCTCACATGCTTCATCATAAAGGCAATTATTCAGCAGTAAGTCGTACCTCATAACATTCAAGGTGGATAGATGACCTCTCATTTCTGAGGAAACATCGTACGTCTTCTGGGTTATGGTCACGGTGTTTTGCTCACA